AAAAAAAATGTTTTTTTTAAAATAAATAAAATCAGTTAAAGGAAGGGACTGCCTAGCATGTACAATAAAATTAGTTTTCAGAGGAATAATATAAGCTCATCTAATAGGAATTTTATCTAATGATTTTCCTATGTTATATTTGACATATCTGGCAGAAGTTAAAAATGAACATCTCTTTCTCGGTGTGTCTCCTCAAATTGCATGTTCTCAGTGACACCTTCCAAAATGACGTACCTTCATCATCTTTCTCTTTTTCATGCTTTGTCTTTACCTATCAATATAAAAAATACTGTATTTTTACTGTGTGTAAGTGGTAGTAGTGGTGGTTAGCCTTGTTCTGAGGGCCTCATACATGCTAAACATTTGCTTTACCAATGAGCTGCATTCCCAGCCCAGAAATATTGTATTCTTTGTATTTGCTTATGTCATGCCTTCCTACACATTGTGCCTCATTAGAATGTAAGCTTCACAAGAGGGCAGGAATATTTTTTCTGTTCTGTTTGCTATTACATTTCTAGCATCTAGTATAGTTCCCAAGCTACAGTGGGTGTTCGGTAGTGATTTTGTTAGTAAACAGATTTTTCTATGTGAAGTATAGGAAATCATTAAGCATGAAGGAGAGGATTTCACTCAGGAAAGACAAGTGCCACACAAAGGGGAGTTTGCTGACTTCTGGCCATAAACTGTATATTTAACTGCTTTTCTAACAATTTTAACTAAATACATTAACTAGATTAAAAAATAAAATTTTTCCTCTCAGGCTGGGTGTGTAGCTGAGAAATAAAATGGATCAATATTATGAAGTGACTGGAATTGAGGAACAGATATCCCAGTGTGTTCACTTGACATGGCTATCCAAGTTCATGAAATGAACAGATTTGGGGAGGTAAAGCAATATAGAAATGAGCTGATATGGACATGTTCTTCTTGTATCCTCTGAGGAACAAACTTCCAATTAGAGAGACAGAGACTAGATAGAATGCTACTAATATATCATTATCTTTGAACTTACTTCCTAGGTTACAACTACCATAATGCTAGCGCTGTTGATAAGATTATAATACTGATATTGTCAAGTATGTTGAAAAATACCAAATTTGGCTGTATCTGTTAAGCTTAGTCACATATGATCCTTTTGTTATAATTGTTACAAAAGATCTTATAATTGAAGGGGGTGGGGATGGGGAGGAAAGCAGTGGCCTATAATAAGCGAAAATGTATCCGTCTTCTGGGGAATGAGGAAGAAGAGTTCTTGGCCTAGATCTTCCAAAATCTTTAGAATTTCTTGAGTGATAAGGTCACCTGCTATGCTAATGAAGTGACTTTTGGAGGAGGGGTCCTAGGAAGTATCAGGATGCACGCTCCTTGTCAAGAAAACCCAACCATATGATTAGAGGGCTGGAATTTCAATAACTACATCTTCAGGAAGTGGAGGGGGCCTAGGGATTGAATTCGACTGCAGGGCCAATGTTTTAATTATGCCCATGTATCAAAACCCTGGTTAAAACAACAACCACCACATTAGGGCTCGGCAACTTCTTGGTGTCTTATGGTAATTACTTTCTTGCTGCTGAGACACAAGTCCCAATACCCACAATTTCAAGGAGGAAAGGTTTATTTTGACTCACAGTTTGTATGTTTCAGCCCATAGTTGTCTGGCTCCACTGCAGGGTGGCATGGCAGAGGAGAAAAGCAGGCAGGAAGCATCCAGACTTCCTTCTTTTTATTCGTCCAGGCTGTAAGCCTATTCATTGGTGACAGCTACACCCAGGGTGGATCTTCCCTCTTCAATAAATCCATTATACACACCTAGAACTATGTTACACCAATCAGTAGACTAATCTAGTATCACATCCATGACCCAGTCACATCCAAAAGCCCCACCTATGAGGATTTGGTGGGACATCTAGATATAAGTCATAACAGGTGGTGAACACATGCATGTGCTGGGAAGATGATACAGCTGAATTCAACAAGGAGAGGGTATGGAAGTTCTGTGTCCTATTATGGCTTGTGTCTGGATGTAACCCCAAAGCCTCATGTAGTCATAAGTAAGGCTTTCCAGAGGTGGCCTTATCTAGAGTATTCAATGCTAGGATTAAGTATGTGATTACTAAATTAGTCTGCTAATTAGTTGGGCCTAGTTGTGGATGTGGATAATGGGAAGGCCCACCCTGAGTGTGAGTGCTACCTGCCCTAAATACATGTAGCTGCTGCCACTGCTTGCTGCTTCTTCATTACTTTGCTACTTTGCTCCCTTCTGCCTGCCATGAATTGTTTCTCTTCAGTGATGCCCCTCTGCCTTGGAGCCAGCCAACTATGAACTGAAACCTCTACAAACTATGAGCTACAATAAACCTTTCCTCCTTTAACTTTGGGTTTCGGGTATTTTATCTCAGCAACAAAAAAAGTAACTAAGATATGTCCCTTCCTTTTCCTCTCCACCATACTCCTCCTTTCTTCTACATCAGTGGTGGTGAACCTATGGCATGTGTGCTGCAGTGGGCTGTTCGTCTCATTGAAAGCTCTAAAAAGTTCACCATCACTGTTCTGTATCTTGCATCTCTTCCACGTGGGTGTTCCTGAGTTGTATACTTTTTAATAAAACTGCAAACAAAACCTTTCGGTGAATTCTATGAATCATTCTAGGAAATTATAAAATGTGAAGGGGGGTTGATGAGAATCCCCCAATGTGTAGCCAAGACAGACCCAAGTGCAGATAACCCGGAACTTCAGGGTAGTGTGAGGGCTCCACTTGCAGGTGGTGTCTGAAGGGAAGAGTAATCTTGTTGGGGCTGTCTTCATGGAAGACTTTCTAAAGGTATTTGTGTTACTGTTAAAAAGGTTGTATGGTAATAATAATGTTGGGACATACTGAATTAAGCCTAATCAAACAGATTTATCACCTAATGAGATTTTTCACAAATTCAGAATTTAGGGCCTATTGCTTGAACATTCTCAAGACATGAGAGGAGTGAGAATAATACTTATTCTAGAGTTTATAAAATTATGGAGATAATTATAACAAAATTTACCATCCCCCAAGTTTTTTTAACCCACTAAGGATTGAGCCCAGAGCTTCCCTAATACTAGGCAAGAACTATACCACTGAGCCATGTACTGAGCCCCTTTAAAATCATTTTTAAGAGTACAATTCAGGGGCATTAAAATTCATAAATGTCATACAACCATCACCATTACCCATTTCTGTAATTTGTTCATTCCAAACAAAAACTTTGTACTCATTAAACAATAAACTCTCAACTTCTCCTTCCCCCTAGTCCACGGTAACCACTATTTTCCTTTCTGTTTCTATGAACTTGCTGATTCTAGGTACCTTACATAAGTGGGATCATACAATATATGACCTTTTGTGTTGGGTTTATTTCACTTAGCCTACTTTTTCAAGGTGCATCTATGTTGTAGCATATAGCAGAATTTCATTCCTTTGTAAAGCTGAATGATACTCCACTGTAATGTGCATACTACACTGATTTATTCACTCATCTGTTGAAGGACATTTGAGTTTTTCTACCTTTTGCTATTCAAAGAAAGCTACTCTGAACTTTGGTGTACAAGTATCTCAATTTTATATTTTCACAAATGTCTTGGTATAAATAAGCTCTTAGAGGCCCTTGACAATTTAGGAAGTCAAACAAAAAATTAATGATAACATATTTTAGAGTTCAATGTTTTATTATCAGCATTAATATTTGTTCATGCCTAAAGATTCAGGGATAAATGAACAAAAATGGAATGTAATCAACACTACATAAGTATAGAGATGCTATAGAAATGCTCTGCTAAATATCAGACTAGAAAAATATAAAAGTTGAAATTATATCAGTTATTTTTTGCTTACTCTTTTTGATACTTTTGGAATTAAACACACAGAAAGTGCTTATTATTAAAGATTATACCTTTTTGGGGCCGGGGATTTAGC